TAAACAGAAAGTAAAATTAACTAACAAAATGACATTGGATGAACATTAAAAAAATCTGACCAAAAGTGTTTTTCCACAAATATATTTCAAAAAAAAAAAAATATATATATATAAAATAGTTTTGACCTGTATTACATCCACATTTGCATTTGGCCCAACTGTACGATGTAAATGTGCTACTGTAAGATGTATTTTCTTTCCCCTGAAAAACTTTTTGAAATAGCATTTTATTTTATTTATTATTTTGTTTTGTACGGGAATAAATGTAACTTGTGGTGCAAATGGTCTCCAACTTTGAGGCTTAGTGTTAGAGGTTTGATCACCAGTGAAGACTGACTCGGTCACCAGCACTAACCATTCGCTCAGAACCACAGACGGTGCAGTCAGAATATTCCTGTCTCATGAATGCATTAGTGGCAGATCCCATGAGTGTGTGACGTAACGGATCATCTTCTCGTTGGTGGCGCTGACAGCTCTTGCTGGAACATGTGGTCCATCTGCTGGATCTGAAGCTCCTGCAAAAGCCTGGTGACGACAGAATGAAGGTCTGCGATTCTGCTTCTCATGAGAAACGCCAAACAGACTGTCGATCACATCTGCAGTGACCTTCAGAAAACCTGCAGTGTTTCTGCTTGTGGTCTGAATCTTCTGAACATTGCGTGCTGGGATATTAAATCATGCTTTGAGAAGAAATACTGCCAGCTAGTGAGGAAAAAACCTCACCTTTGGTTTTGTCAAGATGTGCACTCAAAATCGATCCTATACTTGCATATTTAAAAATGTTATTATTTTTTGTAATTCTTTATTATCCTCAATGGTGATTTATCATGCTTTCATAAAGTTATTTTATTGAAATCGGCATAACAAATACTACAATGATCTTTAAATATCACATCAAAATGTGACAATTTTTGACCACAGATTCACATGTATAATATTTCTGAGATTTGATTATTCCCGGTTACTTACATTCAGCAAAACCTTCTCAGGATTTTAAGTGCTGAAGGAAAATTTGCATCACAAATTCAGTCTGATTGTCATCTTCATCTCTCTGTGCTTGATCTGTTTTATGATTTGAGCTTCAGTGAGCTGATCTGAAAACAGTGCAAGACAGTTACTTAAACATCCGAGTAACAATGGACAACATTGATATAATTTTCTCATTTTATTTCTTTACTGATACTTTTATACATGGTGCATATGTACAATAATAAGTTATATATACAGTTGTGTTTGTTGCATTGGAGCTCTGCTAGAAACGTGACGGCGAGGTTGACGTGGCCTTTACAAGTTGAACATAAAATAAAATGCATTGTTTGTCGATATACAGTATATATATTTACGTGGGACGTGAGGAGGGTAAACAAACAATAAGAAGGCCAAAAACAGTATCTGAAGTGGTTCTGCAAGCATACTGTACTGTGTGTGATCGTTCAGGAGACCGGCTCCATTCAGTCACTGACAGTCCCTACAAACACCTGACTGTAGCTTTCTGAGTGATGAAGCCTCGAACACCAGCAGAAGTGTGTGTGTGTGTGTGTGTGTGTGTGTGTGTCTCATTAAAGCGGCTCGCTCCTGCATGCAGTTAAAGGTTTGCACAGCTGCCTCTGCTTCCCATCGCACACTTTACGGCTTTTCCGTTTTGGTTATTAGTTAATGAGGTGCTGGAAATCACAGCCGCTTTACACTCAGAGTCATAAAACACCAATTCCACACAATTAGTCCAGCAGCAGCGGCTCGCTGCAGGACACACACACACACTCACACACACACACACACACACACACACACTCACACACACTCACACTCACACACACTCACACACACTCACACTCACACTCACACTCACACACACTCACACACACTCACAAGCACGCATGTGCGCTCACACACACACAAACAATTCTGATGTACTTGTACCGTGTTTGAGAGTTTCCTTCACATCAATGTGACATTTAGGCAAGACACTACAGGCAAACACATTTTTTTTCAATATTTTAAAAGTTTTCTTAAAAACACATTTCTTAATAATAATAATATTAATAATAATAATAGTACCACAACTGTTTATTATATAAAAGTAACAACATTTTAAATGTTTTTTCTTATCATTTGTATAACATTTATTTTAAAATATATTTATAAATATAAAAAAATAAATATAATAATAGTAGTAGTTGTTTATTGTACAAAAGTAACACAAATGTAAAATTTTATTTCTTTTTCATTATTAAATTGATTTAAACAATGTTAAAAAGAGATTATCATTATTATTTTTTTAAATGCATTTAATAAAAATAGTTGTCTTTCAGACTAGTGGAAAGCATCCAAAATACACATTAAAGTGTATATTTTATTGCACTTTATCTATTTGCGTCTGTAGATATCAGTTCTTTAAAGAGTTTTTCTCTTACAAACACCAAACTTTATGGTTTTACTTCTCTCTCTATATTCTGTAGGTTTGTTCATATTTCATTTATACAACATTTCATTCCTAAAAATATGGTGAAAATGTGTTTGTTTTCTGTCTGTTGACAGTATTTTCTGATTTATGGAGTGAGAAAAAGAGAAATGAACCTGACTTTATCCAATGTTCAGATTTATGTTCTGGAAATGAATGCAAATTAGTGCATATTTAATTAGATAATGCCTCATTTGCATATTTAAAGATAACTTTTCAGACAACGTTTAGTTTTAATGTACTGTGATGAATTAGCTGGTGAATCGATTAGTTCACCCTGAGCGTCTTGCCTTGAAACAGATGTGTTGTTTGCCAGGTAGCTCGTTATGCACATTTAGAGCGTTTAACGAATTTGAACTCACTCAGTTCACAAGAGTCTTCAGGCTGTTGTCGCAGCAGAAAGAAAGCAGACGGTCACTGTAACGAAACACTGAGAATAAAACACGTTCTTGACAGCACTTAAAATCACAGCTTGAAGAGTCTGTTTGTTTCAGGCTGCTTGTTTATCGATCGCATTCCCTCCATCTGTCAAAAGAAATCAACAGCGTCGCAGTGATGGCGTGCATTGCAAGTCCGTTTCAGAAATACACAAACTGGCCATTTCTGACTTCCGGGGCCTCATTTATAAAGCGTGCATACGCTCAGATTTGATCTTAGAATCACTTCTATAATGTACTTAAAGTGCTCAATTTTTGCGCACTAATTTTGTACTTAATATACTAAAAATGATTCTTTAGTACTTCTTAAGATAATATATGAATATGAACTAAAATGCGCTTTTAACATATTATCTCTGTATTGAAAAACATGTATTTAGTCACCACTTGAACCCATCTTTCATACACTAGTACACTCAACTCAGCACTCACACACCTGGACAAAAAAGACTCATACGTCAGAATGCTGTTCATAGACTTCAGTTCAGCATTCAACACAATCATCCCTCAACAGCTCATTCACAAACTGGTCCAGCTGGGGCTCAACACTTCGCTGTGCAACTGGCTGTTGGACTTTCTGACTGGAAGACCTCAGGCAGTTCTGGTCGGCAGCAACACATCCAGCACCATCACACTGAACACTGGGGCCCCCCAAGGATGTGTGCTGTTTACTTCACTGGTTTGCACTCTATCTGCCGTGTGCTGCTTTAGATATATTTTTTTTTATATATTTTTGTACATTTTACCTTATTTGTATATTTGTATTTTATATTTAATCTGTATATCTGTATTTATGTTCTACTGTTAGTGTTATCTGTATGCACCAAGGGCCTGAGAGTAACGCAATTTCAATTCTCTGTGTGTATGTGCTGTACATGTGGAAGAATTGACAATAAAGCAGACTTGACTTGACTTGACTTGACTTGATAAGTGGTGCATTTTTAAATACAGAGATAGTATGTTGAAAGCGCATTTTAGTTCATGTTCATGGTGTACCAAAATAGCACAGTTGAGCACTTAGTTGATCTTAAGAAGTACTAAAGAATCATTTTTAGCATATAAAGCAGTGACGAGCTGTGACTTTTTTAACCGGGTATGCAGAGTGCTAAGATCAGCAGTGAACAGGAGTTAAAACTCCCACCCGGGTGACACTACTCCAATAATAGACCATGCAAAATACCAAAAAATAATTATATCTTTAAAATATTACCAATGCTGCCAAGTAACGTTGCAAACAACAATAAAATCAGGGAGGGACTGTAACTATAAGCGACAAAAGCATACGGAAAACATGTTTCCTCTGTTTTTTCCCCGATGTTTGCTGTTAGTTAAAATTTTATAAACATTTTTATAAACACTTTTTTTAATTTACCACTTAGGCATGTTATATCTTCAACATTGTCAATGAGATATGTTTTCAGTGGACTTTCAAAGTTAGCTTTGCTTGAGAAAGCATGAAAATATACAGTTACAATGTTTTTTTCATTTCATTTAGTTGAGCTAGTTTTGCTTCAAACACTATGTAAATTTTGGCAATCGAGATCTGGCAGCAACAGCGCATTTTTCCGCTTGAGTGAGCGCTTCGCGGACAGATTTAGATGGTCTGAACAGCAGCGAACTACATGAAATCCCATTTGTGCAAATCCGTTTCAAGCTACATTCATATGTGGTTTGGAATCCTATTCAAATCGCATTCCTGCAAATCAGTTTCAGTCTGACTGCTCAGATCGGATTTAGCGTGTTGCTGTTTCACGTTCTCATGCTATGTGAAATGTAAAAATGTCAGACGTTTTTTTTATAGAAAACATAATAAATGTCTTTGCAGAAACAAGATTGTGTTGTTGCGAACTGTAAGTCAAGCGGACAAAGACAATATACTGCTAGTATACGCACTTCTTTGAGTTTTGAGACTGACGGAGACGGCAGCACAGAATATAGTCGCACATTCCAGATTCTTGCGTTTCTGCCGATGCCTCATAAAACGACGCCTCAGACGGCCTGGGTATATGGACGGAACGCCACTGATATTAAGTACAAAATCAGTGCGAGAATATAGAGCACTTTAAGTACATTATGGAAATGTGCTTGTTTTTTTTAAACCTGGGTTAGGATGGTTTCTGCACAACACTTTATAAATGAGGCCGCAGCCCTGGTCTGGATGGGTTCTCTCAGACGCTGGCGCAGCGGGAGGTGAGATTGGGATGGTGGCTGGATGGAGGGACGCTGTTCTCGGGGCCCAGAATGTCGAAGCAGAGGGTCTCGACGGCATCCAGTCGTTCGATCTGGACCAAACGGGTCAGCAGGTCCGGGATGCTGTATCCCGCCGTACTGATGCGGTCGAAGAGCTGCATGCCGTCCGTCATGCCTCCGATCTCGTCGCGCTTCAGGCCGAAGCTCTCGGCGAGGTGCCTCCACGTCTTCACCACTGCCTTGTCCGTGCTGTAGGTGGCGCTGAGCATGCGGCTGCTGCGCTCCAGACAGTCGAACGGCAGCTCAGTCGGACTCAGACCTACAGAGATGAAGAACACCATCATCATCATCAGAGTAGGGATGGGCGATATGGGCTTAAAATATATCACGGTATTTCTGGTATTTATTGCGATAACGATATCAATGGCGACAATTCAGGGAATCCTGTTTCTTTAGAGAAAAGTATTATCTTTCCTATTTTTACCCAAAATAGCGTGTTGTGAGCATTATTGAGTACACACGTAATGTATTGACGGTTTAATTCATATTGGAAGCCAGAGGGCGCCCTCGCGCAGAAACTCCACACATGCATCACAGAAGTAATAGCACTGATGATGACGCTCCAGGAAATCCCTAATATGGACAAAGGTATCGCTGAATAAAACGCACAACGGAGATAGAGAAAATTTAACTGATGAAACTTGAAGACAAGAAACATACGATTGCACAAAATATATGGCTTATCTGTGTGCTTCAAGCAATCTTGGGTATTTTTTATAAGGAAAGTATATTAATAATGCAATGCTAATCAACATAGCCTTTATCACTGTACATAATACTATCATTCTGTGATATGAAACCACGTTTGGTCACAAAAAGAAGTTATTTCAAACACTCGACTATGTTAAGTTAATTTGGAGAAAAAGCATGTCAATAAATTATATCTTTGTTGGACAACAGGTTTGTAAACAGGCTCATACACATGCAAAGGGCTACATTTATTCAGACCGATATTTTGTGCACTGTACAGCCCTGACCAAACCAGTTCGATTATAAAAGGAGCTCCTCGTTTAGCGATAAACTCCTCCTCAATTTCACGTCCGCCTTCCACGATGTCGCTCCGCATGGTTGCACACAGAAATATGTCAGTAACTTTATCGTTATTATCACTGGAAGACTAATTCTTATCATGGGGAGAATTTTTACCGGTATATCGCAAACGATAAGATATCACCCATCCCTACATCAGAGTAAACTAGGAGTAAAACACTGGCTATGTTTACATGCAAGCAAATAATCAGTTTGTAATCGGATTGACAGCTCAATCGGACTGAAAAACGTTCATGTAAACACCTTAATCGATCCGATTGAGCTCGATCGGAGTGAAATTTCGATCGGTTTGAAGGGGGTGGTTTATTCATTTTCTAATACGATTGAGAGTGCATGTAAACACTCAATCGGACTGAACCCCCGAAACTGAAAGGACTGCGCATGTGCAATGACGCAGAAATAACGTAATGACTTATGACGCGCAGAACGAGCGGTTCTTCCTTTTGAATAAAGTGTCGTATAAATACGTGTCCTGTCATTATAAAACTCTCCTTTCACTCGGCAACTGTGAAGTGGAGCCGGACAACCTCCCACCAGTCCTTGTTTTGGATTCTCATCCACAGGCAACCCGTTTTGGGCGCGAGGAGGGGCATTTTTACTGTGTGATAAATATGAGCAGCACGGCACAGAGGTTTATATATATATTTATCCATAAATGGATAAATATTAATTCTGCTTTTAAAAACAAATAAAGAAACCGTGTAGGAGAGTGGTTATTATGTGCAAAAAGTGAGAAACTCTATATTTGTGCAGTGTGCGCACGTAAAAAAAAAAATAAATTCTGTTACATGCATTTTTCGAAAATATTTTAAATGTATCTATTTTTAAAAGTATGTAGCAGAACTCTTTATTGTATAAAAATAATAAACATTTAAAATTGTTTTAAATTTTATTAATTTTTTTTTAAAGAATTAAATTATTATTAATTAAAAATTATTTAGTATTTTTATTATTACATTAACTTTTTTAAATATGTACAAATGATCATTTATTTAAAAAAAATAAATTTAATAACAATAATAACAAAAATACCACCAGAATTGTTTCTTAAACAAAATTAACAAAAATCTGATTCAAAATAAAAATATATTTTATTATCTTTTATATTTATTATTTTATTATCAAATGCATTTAAAATGTAAAAAAGTACTAATACATACTAATAAAACTAATAAAAATGTAAATTAAAAATAAATGTAATAATAACAGAACTGTTAAAAATGTATTTATTATTATTATTATTAAAATAAATAATACTGACAGTAACAGAACTGATTACTGTACAAAAATAACAGAAATCTCCTTAAAAATTTAAAATCCTTAAAATTGTGATTTATTCATTTTATTTATTATTTGTATTATTACATTTATTAGGTAAATAATTCTCACAGAACTTGTTGTGGTGTAAGTAAGCCATATTTATTCTCACTGTAAGTGAACTCATACCTAACCTTGCGTAGTTTTGATCATCATCTACCAAGTGATGAGTTTGTGTCAAACATTGAGTTTGATTGACTGAACTCATCAACAGAAGCACATCTGTGAGGAGTCTCTCCTCCCTTTTAAGAGCTGACAAGTGTTTATTTTAATAGTATGTGATTATATGGGTCCCATCAGAACAGTCCACTGGGATAAACAATGATAAAAATGCATTTGATTTGACTTCATTTCAATGATAAGAAATCAATATTTTTCCTTCTTCAATGATCTTGCTGCTCTATTATTTCTCTTGTGATTTTCCGAGTGGCAAGATTAACTCCACATGATTTAATGTGGAGTAATGTGCTTCTGTAAATGTTTAGTGTGTTTGCAGTGAGGTGGAGATCTGTTTGTCACACACTCCTGCTCATTACAGCTTTAACACAGCAGTCGTCGTCTGTGTTTTACAGGCTTGACATAATCATGAATTCACGGTTACGGTTACACTCACCCTCCGCAACACTGCAGGCTTTTGTGTACAAATCCAGGATCTTTTTCCTTCTGCTGTGAATCTGCATAAACAGGAAATGTTTGGATGAGTCACACAAAGCAACAGAGTTCAATCTGAACCTACAGAACAAGATCAGATGTGGAGCAGAGCAGTAACTCTGCTGAAAAACTTAACAGAGTCCAAGAACAGAACATTTAATGTTAGAGGTGTGATGGGATACACCTTACGCTTTTAAAGTACGGTACAAATTGTGAAATATTTTTAATATTTAAACTAGCTGTTCTCTATGTGAATCTCTGTTAAACTGTAATTTATTCCTGTGATGCGCAGCTGTATTTTCAGCATCATTACTCCAGTCTTCAGTGTCACACGATCTTCAGAAATCA